ACCTAGTGCATCTGAATCCCAAGCAGGGTCCAGGAATCTGCATTTTAAAATCCCCTTCCCCAGGGGCGCCTGGGCGGCTCAGTCGGTTAAGCGTCTGACTTCCGCTCAGGTCGCGATCTCACGGTTTGTGGGTTCAAGCCCCACGTGGGGCTCTCTGCCATCAGCACAGAGCCCACTTCCGTTCCCCTGTCTCCCTCTTTCTCTCTCCTCCTTGCGCTCTCTCACTTTGTCTTTCTCTCAAACGTAAATAAACATTTAAAAAAGTAAATAAAGGCACCCTGCCCAGATGGTTGTTCTGGGTGCTAGGGTTTGTGAAGGACGCTGAGATCTAACGGGCAAGGTGTGGCGTGGTCTAAAGGAGCTCCCGTCCAGGCCACCTCTCATATATATAGGAGAGCAGGTGCAGGAAAGTGCCCCTTAAGCCTTTCTGTAATTTGTGGAAGAGTCAGGTGGTTAATAAGCATCTCGCCGAGGCTTGCGAAAACCAAACAAGGGAAAATGCAAATGTGAAAGTAATTATATTTCAAGCCAGCGTGGGTGGTTTTAAAATCTTGAAAAGGAGGGACGGCCTGCTCGAGACAATTTTGGGAGAAGCTGTGTCGGCAGATCAGGGGCCCGGAGCAGGGTTTCCTGAAAGTTAAAGAGGCTGGTCGGACAGTGGGTATGGTCTGCGGGCACAGGCTTCACATCCTCCCCGGCCTGTTCTGTCCCTAAAGCTGATGCTCGATGAGACAGGGCCTTGGTGGCCCGCGACAGAACCGCCTGTTTTAGGCAAAGTCTTGGGCGAAATGTGTAGCTGGGGGGAAGGCTTTTGGCGGGCGGCTGGCGGATCGCCTCTCCAGGGGCTCTGCTTACGGGACCCACACGTAACTTGGGCTTTTGAGCTGCCGTGAGCGTGGACGGGACTGCTGTCGGGCCGCCTTCCTGTTTCAGAGGCCCCAGCCCGTCGTCGTCTGCCCGTGGGGAGGGGGCAGGCCTCCTTCCCCTTCTGTGGGGGGCGGCAGGGGCCACCTCATCGTGGGGACCGTGCAGGAGGGATATGGGGGCCCAAATAGGAATGGGACAGGCTCTAAACCGACCAAACTAAATCAAACCCAAACCCAGAAACCAACACGGGACAAAGGAAGAAAAGCGCCCACCCGAAATGCTTTCTCCTAAGGCCCCCAGCGTTCGATTGTTTACGGTCAGATTCTCCTCTGGCCTTTTTCTGTGCCTCGGTTTACCCATCTGGAAAACGGGGACAGACCCAGTCCCCGTCGCTTTGGGTTGTGGGTGAAGATCGCACACCTGCCAAGTGTCGGGCCTGCGGGCAGTGCGGCAAGCGTTTGCCGACCCGTGAGTGTCCCTCTCCACACACACACACACACACACACACACACACACACCCCGGATCCCCTTTCTGTCGCTTCCCTCCAGGTCCTGCTTCCCGTCCCGTCCTGGTCTTGCCATCCACAGCATTGCCCGTCCCTCGTTCCTTAGGGATTTGGCTCCACAGCTGGCGGGGGGCCGTGGCAGTCTGGCTTCGTAGAGGGGCTCCTGCAGACGAGAGGAGGCTGGCGGCCAGCACACGGGGTTTCTGGCCCCCGGTCTTGCCGGCTCCCACATCGCCAAGCAGCTTTCTTCCCTCTGACGCCCTGTCTTTCCGTCGCACGCGTGAGCCTGTCACGATTTGCTGCGGCCTCTCTTCCTGAGGGTTCTGAGCAAGGCTGACTTCCTTCCTAGACACCTCGTGCCTTTCTTCCCTTCCTGCCTTTGAACTGAGGTGTGGGGCTCGTTCTTCCTGAAGCCCGTGTGGTAGGAAGGACAGTGGGACTTCGTGGAAGGGGCCGGCCATCCACGGATCCGACGTCACGGTCGCGGGGTATAGCAAATCGCGGAAGTCTTCGCAGGCTCCAAAGTGGCTCTGAGAAGTTTATACGCCTCACGTTTGCTTTGTGAGCGTGGAACGTCTTTCCCCGCTTAGCAGTGAGATGATTCATCGCGGTCTGGTTTTATTTTCTGTGAAGGTCACTTGTCCTTCATGACTCCGGCCTCTGTGGCAGTACTCTTCAGGCACCTGACTCCTTTCTTCTCAGAGCGTTTTGTGTTGCGTTGTGATTGTGGTGAAAGTGAGGTTGCGGTTGTGAATTAGTCGATTCATTCGCAAGGGCCAAAACGTGTAAAAGTTTCTCTCCCCCTCCTGCCCCATTCCTCAGTGTCTAAGCTCCTTTCCCAGCAAAACAGCCACTGTTAGCGTTTTGTACTTCCTTCCAGGTCTGTTGTATGCACGTATAAATATATGTTATTTCCCCCTTTTAAACAGATGATAACCTGCTATACACACACGTTGTGTTCTGCCCTCTGCTTTCCTTTTATTCAACAAAACATGGACACGTCTCTACATGTAAGTGTATGAAGTGGTTTCTCGATCTTTTCTTACAAATGGCAGAATATCCCATCGTACGATATACCATAATTTATTTAGGCAGATAGAGATCGAGGCTTCCCGATGGTTTTTCAGATAAAGTTCTGGGGAAGAATGAATGAGCGGACTCCATATCGACTGATACAGCTGCAGTGAGGTCCGGGGTTGAACCTGACCTTGTGTCGTTCACAAGAGGGTTTCCTAGGAAATGGTCAGACTACTGAAGTGAGCCACTAAGCTTTTGCATTGGCAGGTTTGGAGACTCCAGAGTAAGGAGAATCGCCTAATGTTTTTAATGGATTGCTTTTTATAAAAGGTCGTGGGTCCCTGCTCTTGAAAAATAGTACGTTGTTTTTTACAAAGATTATTCCGAGTCCAGCCAGATATATCTAGATATTGCATAAGATTGATAAAGAGAAATAAGGAATTGGTGTCCATCATTCAGAGGAGGGTTGGAAAAGTTTCAGGGTCAGGAAAACGTCTCTGGGTGATAAATAATCCACTTTTCCACCAGTTCATATTTAATAGATGCCTTAGTGGGTTAGATTTCAAAGTACGAGGAAGACAGGGCTGTAACTTCCTGGAAGGCATAGTAGGTGACACATTGTAGCTTATAAATATTTGTTTTGAATGGAGAGCATGATCAAAGAATTCTAAGTTATGGTAAAGACAGCCATATCAATATATTAATGTAAACACTATTACAGAAGTGTATATATTAAAGCATTAATACCAAGAGACTTTTGAACCAGCAGAATATTGGAAGATGAAGGTCACAGTTCAGGAAGGAATAGGCTATAAAATTCACCTTCTGCTTCTTTTGGAAGCACTCCTTTGACCTCGAAAATCAGGTTTGCATCTAAACGTTAAGTCCAGAAATACAAATGTCTATCGTAGATGAATTCATCCCCTTAGCACAGTTGTTGAGTAGCTCAGAAACCCATGCTATTTTAGAGAATCTGAGCGTGAGAACGTGCCCTGTAGTTAATGAGGGAACAGCTCAGTGACCCTCTTCGTTCGACCCTCCTGAGACTCGTGTGCCCTTCGGGACAGGGACGATAACTTCCACTTTGGAAGCTCCTTGGCAAGTTTCTTTACTTCTCTGTCTTGCGTGTGGTCGTGTTTATTTGAGGGTCTCTCTGGCAAGTAGGGTCAGTAGTGGTTGAGTCATTCTATGAGACGGAAATGATTTCCATTCATTCGACTGTGTCGAGAAATAATCTCTGTCAACCTGTTTGCCTTCCTTTAACTCATATATGCTTCACGTTACGGGAGAATTGGGCAAAAGGGCATTTGGGATAGGTAATCGTAGTACTGCTTTTTTTGAGAAGGGATCGAACGTCGAACGTGACTAATGGCAATGATCGTGTGTGTGTGTGTGTGTGTGTGTGTGTGTGTAAGAATGTGCTGTCAGAGTGTTCACTGGGTTAGCGCTGAATCAGGACCCCACGTGTATCAAATAACATGCTTCTTTACTGCAGTATCTACTTTATGATGAGAAGTAAGGGGTAGGAGCCAGTGCAGTGAATGTCAGAGTTACAACGGGTGGGACCGTCCTACGTCTGCTGGAATCACGCTTCATGAAGCTAAGTTTTGGGGGGATCCGACTTAAAATTCATCAGATGTGGTGTGGCGACGCGGATGTGTGAGGGGGTTCTACTGTGTGGTTTTTGCCTTGATTCTCAGTGAAGACACCGGAGCAAAGCAAGGGTAGGTGCTCAGAGCCGGTGAGCCCGTGTCTATTAAGAGTTCTTCGCTTTTGGTTCTTAGTTCACAAGTGTCTTCCTTCAGTGTTTTCTTTTTCTTTCCCAAAGAATTACTGAGTCTGTGTAGAAGTTTCTTCTTCTCACTAGCTTGCTGGGTTCCATACTGACCCCTATAGCCAGAGCTCCGTGAAACCTTGGCTCATGTTACATGCAGATGTGTTCCGTCTTTCCGAGTCTCATAGCTGTGGTGCTGATTTGTCACGAGGCATTCGTAGGACCGTGAAACGGGGTGACAGGCCGACCCCACTGGAAAACACACTCCGGCGTAAACAGTTTTGTGCAACGTGGCGGCAGTCCGCGGTCCCCCAAGGAGCTCGAAACAAGCAACCCCAGTCAAACTGATCAGTGAATGAGTTCCCTAGAGAGATTGTATCGTCTGTCTTCACTGCTCAAAACCCGGCTTGCTGTGCCTCACTACTTCCTTTTAACCGTGATGCGAACTTCCCTTGGCTGAAGGTTGACCTTGGCTAAGCAGGAAGTGTGTCTGCTGGCTTAAATGTGTGCTGTGGCCCCGACCACGAGCTCAGGTGCATTCCCTTAAGTTTAAAGGTGCTTTCGGGCTCCAGTGCCCGTTGTTCCCAGATTCCTTTCTCCGCCCTTCCCTCCGGCATTTACAGTAGGAAGTGTCTTAGACTTTTGGAGTCTCTACTTTACTTGAACCCCTTGTACTCTGTTCCCGGTATCGGTGTCTGTCGTTAAGACTGTTCCAAGTTTTCTGTTCCGTGTTCCGGGAAATGTTTTCCTCATCTCAGGGATGCTTGTATTTTCCTTTCTTCTTCTGGCTCTTTTTGGTAAAATCTGTACTTGTTGTCTTGACTTGTCCAATGCAGGCCTACAGACTCCTGCTCCGGAGTTTATTGTTGATGTAGAATCCATGGACATCTTCCCAGTGGGCTGGTGTGAGGCGAATTCGTACCCTTTGACCACACCGCACAAAACAGTCTGTAAGTATCGTCCAGTGTGGACGGCATCTGCAGCTTGGGGGAGTAAATAGATCATTTTTTGTGTGTGTCTTTTGTGTATTTTATTTTCTTTAAAAGTTTTTTTAATGTTTATTTCTTTATTTTTTAATTTTATTTTTTAATTTTTTATTTTTGTTTATTTATTTATTTTATTTTATTTATTTATTATTATTTTTTTTTTGAAATTTACATCCCAATTAGTTAGCATCTAGTGCAACAATGATTTCAGGAGTAGATTCCTTGGTGCCCCTGACCCACGTCACCCATCCCCCCTCCAGCAACCCTCAGTTTGTTCTTCATATTTATGAGACTCTTCAGTTTTTATTTTTGAGACAGAGTGCGAGTGGGGACGGGACAGAGAGAGAGGGAGACACAGAATCCGAAGCACGCTCCAGGCTCTGAGCTGTCAGCACAGAACCCGATGTGGGGCTCAAACTCACAAACTGTGAGATCAGGACCTGAGCTGAAGTCGGTCGCTCAACCGACTGAGCTACCCAGGTCTCCCTGTTTTTGTTTTGTTTTGTTTTGTTTTGTTTTTTAGGGAGAGAGTACATGAGCAGGGGAGAGGGTCAGAGGAAGAGAGAGAGAGAGAGAATCTTAAGCTCTAGTGCTAGGCTCTATCCCATGACCCTGGGATCATGACCTGGGCTGAGATCAAGAGTTGGGCACTGAACCGACTGAGCCACCCAGGCACCCCCTTTTTAAAATTTTATATTTATTTATTTATTTATTTATTTATCTATTTATTTATCTATTTATTTATTTATTTTTATGAATAGACAGTTTTGTAAATAGTGTAGCTAAGTTGTAAAACACAGAGCTGCTATTAGATGTTCTGTGGAGTGCCAATATTTTTGCCTCATGTATGCTTTCAATGTCTTTGTGAGATGAATATTTGTAAGCATCTCACAGGTTGACAAACGAAGTCAGAATGCTAAGGCAGTTGAAGGTCACAGAGTGGCAGAGATAAAATTCAAAGTAAATAGAATAATATATGTACGTTGTATAAAATAATATATAACATATATAGAATAAATAAAATATGAAAGAAATCTTGACTTCCAGTTTGGTATACAATGCGTTATTTTGATTAGAGAACATTTAAGCTAAATACTGTATTTTTGTATCAGCATGTCTGAGAGAGAACTAGTTTTTCTCATGAGATTTACCCTGAAAGGATCCTAATTGACCATAATAATTTACTGACATAACATATAAACAGCTACTCTTAGCAGTAACCAACCAGTGAGATTTCAACTGTAGTTTGAAGAGTATAATGTCCTTCTGATTACAAAAATGCCGAATTAAAACAATATTAATAGTTAACCCAGAACTAACTCTGTGTTCTTAAATATAACAGTTCTGTCTCTTGAATATATATAGCAGTGTGTGTTTTAACATCTGCTGTTGTAGATCATTATCCTGAAATGGGACCTTTAAAAATCTTCAAAACCAATAAATCATGGCATTTTTATTCCACCCTAATGTTTATCAAGAGTATTATTTAAAATTATGAGCCCTTAAAGATAAGGGGTTTTAATTTTTGTGAAATAGACATTGCTAGTATTTCCTTTATTAATTTATATGCTAGCTTTACTTTCTAACGTCCTACGACATGGTTCCCGTATGTAGATGCTCAGAGTATTGATAGAAAGGAAGCTTCCATCCTATATCAGTTCTGTTCCCTGATGTCAGATTTTGAAGGGCACTTGAGTCCTAGTCGATATTCATTAAGAGTGGGACAGTGGGGGCGCCTGGGTGGCTCAGTCCATTGAGCATCTGACTTTGCAGTTTGTGAGTTCGAACCCCACGTGGGGCTCTGTGCTGACAGCTCAGAGCCTGGACCTGCTTCAGATTCTGTGTCTCCTCTCTCTGCCCCTACCCCACTTGTGCCCCCCCCCCACTCACTCAAAAAAAGTGGGATGATACATTACCTGTGTGCCACAAAGTAAGTAGCCCAGATTACACACAGGTGGATTTTAAGGGATTATTCTCCCCCATACACAGTATTGCTCGATGAATCATCCAACGAGAGTAGTATCTTGGCCCTCACTTTAAGCTATTCCTGAAATTTTGAGCATAGAATAACTTTGTCATTATCAAAGGCATTCTCATTTTCTCTTCTCACTTAAAGTGCCACAGACTCTTGACTCCACTGGCCAGAGAGCCAGGCATGACCAGATTCAGTCACGCATTTGTTCTGAAGAGGCAAACTATAAATCTAAATAATCTAAACTCCGGTAGCTTTAGAAGTTCTGTTCACGGGTGCCTGAGTGGCTCAGGTGGTGAAGCGTCTGACTCTTGATTTTGGCTCAGATCGTGATCTCGAGGTTCATGGGATCAAGCCCCACGTTGGGCTCTGCGTTGACAGCTCAGAGCCTGCTTGGGGTTCTGGCTCTCTCTCTCTCTCTCTCACTCTCAAAAAATAAACTTAAAACTTTTTTCTTGAAATTACACATATGCTGGAAGATGTGGGATTGTCTGTGCCAGCATTAAGTGGTGCCATGGTCTTAGGTCTATCTTTGGTAAGGTGCTCCGAATACGTTATATAAACTGTAAATCTTCTTATCTGAAAAATAATTATTGGCTGGGTTATGTCGATATTCGTCAGACATATTTACGGGGTACTAATCCTCCTTCCAGTAATAATACTTTAGTGCAAAAACATACCTCTAATCTTAATTTGGGAGTATGCCGTATGGTAATATTATTGGACTTCCCATGCTTTCTGTGGGGAAAAAACAAACAATCCTTCTGGATAATCTTGCTCGCAACAATTTGTCCTACCAGGTGGATTAGGTGAGTATGATATGTGTGCTCTTTCTTTCTTACTAAAAGCACATTTTAGAATAACGTAGCTAGTGTCGTGGTAAGATTAAATGCACTCAATTCTGTTTAGACTTCATTTCTGATGAGTCACAGTCTAATGCTAGAAGAAACTAAGGTAAAATTTTGGCATGAATAGAATAACTTTTCAGTGTTTAAACCGTTACTTTAAAACTGACACAGTTTTTACTTGAAGGCATTTTTTAAAAAAAGCTTTTGCCCAACTGGGGAGCAAAGCTGATTGTCCTTTTGCCCTGTCTTGCCTGTTTTCCAGCACAAAAGAAGAGAAAGATCGCAGTCGTGCAACCAGAAAAACAGTAAGTTTTTGTTTCTGTTTCCCCCCCGAACTGTGCGGTCAACTCTACAGCGTTGTCTTTGTGGAGGGCAGGAGGCGTTGCTGTTTTCCTTAGGGACCTTAGCTAGCACTTGGCACCCTAAAGGTGACAGCAATGTACGATGCCCCCACGGTCACGCACAGCTGCCCCTGCCCCGCACGCAGCACGCGGGCGTCCCTGGTCGCGGCCGGCCTGCCAGGCGGCCCTCGGCCTGATGCCAGCTCTGCCCGGTCCCAGCAGGGTGCGCTCGAGGAAGCCTCTGCCAGCTGGCTCCGTTTTCTTCATAAAAATACACTGAGGGAAAGGAATTTAAGACCAGCATTTTTGCATCTCCCCAGGCTCACGTCGAAATAAAATGAGATGTAATAATAGCTGTATTGTCACTTGAATGCAAGTAACAGTTTGGGGGGCATTTTTCGTACCTTCGTTTCGAAACACAGTGTATCAGGTTAGTGCGACTCCAGGTGTGTCTGGAGGAGGCTGAAATAGAGAGGAAGTAATAATCAACCGTCCCACCACGGAACCCAAATCTGAATTCGGTAACTCCCCGGTTTGCGGTCCGTGGACCCGTGGTCACCGGGGCAGCTCGATACAACACACACGCTGCCGGACCCCCATGTCCAAACTTTCCGGCTGAGCGGATCTTCGGTGGGGCCTGACCGTCTGTACGTCTCACAAGTTCCCAGGTGATGCCGGTCTGCTGGTTCCGGGGACCCCGCCTTGAGAACCGGTGCTGTAGCTGCCCCAACTGAGGTCTCGTCATGGTTTGCTTTGAGCTCATGTCACTCTTCGACGGTGTGGTTTCTTCCACACAGCCAGCGTGGATACCCTGTGAGACCCGACACGCCTCTTTTTCCCCTGGCTACATTTTTTAGAAAATATTTATTCAGCAAGCGGTTCCTGAACCATACCACAAAGCTCTGTCGTAGGCTAGGCCCACCTGACGTTTCAAGACCCATCCGTTCACAGGCTTTCCGTGAAGATCCTTTTCGTGTAGCCGTGACCCACACTGGCCCAGATGCCAGAGATCAAAGGCCACCAGACAGTGGTAGTTCCCAGTTAGGCATTGAAGACAAGTCTGATTCGCATTCAAGTCTCTGCAAGCTAATACTTCTTCGGGTCTAAGAACATAATTAAGGATGTTATTGTAATTCTGTAGCAAGAGGCAAAGCCTGGAACGACCCAGAAGGACATCACTGACTAGTGATGTCCACTCGAGGGGGAGATGTTCCACTGGCTTCTTAGGGTTATGGTAAGAACTGGGGAGCGACTTGTGTGAAATGATCTTCCCCATGGGTATTGGTGTTGCTGCTACATGCATGTGTCCTAGGGTTTCTGGAACAGCCCCTTTCAGTTGTGAAAGGACTTTGGAATGGACTAGTGTCTTCTAAAGGGTGCGACCCATGATCATTTCGTTTTCTTGATCTGCAGATTGCCATCCACAGTGCCTGTTGAGAAAATACCTCATGACCTTTGTTTATTCTCTCCCTTGGACACCACAGGTAAGTGAGCCCCTTTGCGGCTGTCTGACCCTTCCCAGTCTGTGAGGGGGACATTCACGTATTTTCCAGGTCAATATAAGAATGCCTCAACTCTGGGTTCTTTTTCCTTGTCTCCATTGCTACTTATTCACATACAGCTACTTTATTTATTTTTTTTTTTAATTTTTTTTTTCAACGTTTATTTATTTTTGGGACAGAGAGAGACAGAGCATGAACGGGGGAGGGGCAGAGAGAGAGGGAGACACAGAATCGGAAACAGGCTCCAGGCTCCGAGCCATCAGCCCAGAGCCCGACGCGGGGCTCGAACTCACGGACCGCGAGATCGTGACCTGGCTGAAGTCGGACGCTTAACCGACTGCGCCACCCAGGCGCCCCATATACAGCTACTTTAAAACATTTTTCTTTTATTTTCTGATTTTTCTTTAATGTTTATTTTTGAGAGAGAGACACACACAGAGCGTGAGTGGGGGAGGGGCAGAGAGAGAGAGGGAGACACAGAATCCGAAGCAGGTTCCAGGCTCCGAGCTGTCAGCACGGAGCCCGACGCAGGGCTCGAACTCACGAACTGTGAGATTGTGATCTGAGCCGAAGTCGGGTGCATAACTGACCGAGCCCCCCAGACGCACCTTTAAAAAACAATTTCTAAACCAAATTCTCTGTGTCTCTTCTGTTTCTTGGTCAGTAGCTCTAGATAATTCTTTCGGTCCGCAGGAGAAGAGTCCAAGTGCTACTTGGAAATGAGGAGCCAGTTAAAGTTGTATGCTGTGAGTGGTCACGTGGAAAGAAAAAGCGTTGAAAATATCCTCAGCACGCACTCCTGCTTTTGACATTTTATGCCATCCCACCTGCATTTTCTACTAGCGGTTAATACTTAAGTCCCCGTGGGCTCTTGAGTTGTTCCTTAAAACCCTCTGTGTTTGAAACCTGAGCACGAATAGTATGTGTCTTTTAACGTGTGAAGTCCTACATCTTCCAAATAACCTTTGAAAACACACATGGGAATCCCCCCTTGACAAACAAAGCTGATTATAGACATGTTTGTACATTGAATAATATATCTGATTAAGAATCCTGTTTTGTATCCAGAACGAAACCCACTCTGAGTTCTTCCAGGATTAAAAGCTATACGCCGTGGAGGAACCCTATCCGTCCAGGGTGTAGTGAGGAGAGCATTTTTATGAGTGGACTCACTAAAACTTTTTTTCTCGAGGTCTGGGTAGGGTAATCCTACCAAGAAACTTCCACGTGTGTGCAGCTGTGGGCATAATTTTCTTTGGTCTAATTTTGTTGTATAGAATTCAAACTTCAGAATGGTTTTAAAATGTCAGCTCTTCCTTCAGCGTCTGTAATTGTTATTTTACTCCTTTTGTCTTTTACTCACAAAAATAACACTTCGTGCTTTTTCCCTGTTGCTTCTTAGTTGAAGTCCTGTTAGGACAGACCTTCCTGGACCATTCAGTTACCATCCCAAACTCAGAACCGTTGTTAGGCAGAAATACCACTGTTAGCATGGTTTAGCTTGGAGCGGCGTGGGGGAGGGCGCGTCTTGGCTGACAGCGAACCCCCTTTCTGTGTTTCCAGACATCAGGAGGCTGTAGGGTAATACCTTACTGTGTAGTTATTCCACTTTTCCCCGTGGCCCTTGGAGACACAACTAGACCGACAACTTGGCTAAGTCAAAAGCATAATGAAGGAAATGCAGATTTAATCCTCTGGGAGGTACATTTCACATCCATCCGAGTGGCAGAATGAGGCAGCCATACCTACCGTGGGCTTGGACGTGGGACTGAGGCAGCCATACCTAGCGTGGGCTTGGACGTGGGACTGAGGCAGCCATACCTAGCGTGGGCTTGGACGTGGGACTGAGGCAGCCATACCTAGTGTGGGCTTGGACGTGGGACTGAGGCAGCCATACCTAGCGTGGGCTTGGACGTGGGACTGAGGCAGCCGTACCTAGCGTGGGCTTGGACGTGGGACTGAGGCAGCCATACCTAGTGTGGGCTTGGACGTGGGACAGCAGGAACTCCTACACAGCGCTGAGAGGAGTGTAAGTTGGGATAGTCCGCGTGGAGATCGATTTGACCATGTGTAATAAAACGGAAGACTGCAGACCCCAGGGCCGAACAGTTTCCCTCCTTGTTACGTACTTGGAAAATTCTCTTGCCCATAAGCAGGAGCAGATTTTCACAGCCGTGGTCACTGAAGCCCTGTCGGTAATACCGAGAGAGTGGAAATGATTCAAGGTCCATCAGTAAGAGAATGGAAAACTCACTTGTGCTGTATTGATGTAATGGAGTCACGCACAGAAGTGGAAAATGGATGAACCTTCTGGATAAACGTTTACCAACTTGGATGGATCTTAGAACCTTCACATTAAACAAACCAAATGCTGCAGAAAACCACTTAGGGAATACAGTAAAACCTTGGATTGCGAGTGACGGGCAAGACGAGCCAAGATTTCTAATAAATTTTAACTTGATAAAGGAGTGATGTCTTGCCGTACGAGTCGTATGTGATGCCGAACGTCACGTGATCACAACTGAGCCAGTGGTTCTGGAAATTCGTTTTGATACACAAGTGCTTTGGATTACAAGCATGTTTCCAGAACGCATTATGTTCGCAAACAAGATTTTGCTGCATTTTAAAAATATCTGAAATGCGATCCATTGTGTGTTGACACACAAACCCCCGTATGTGTGGTAAAGTTTATAGACGTGCATGGGAATGACAAACACCAGATTCGGGGAAGGGGAGCACAAGGTCGGGGGGGGGCGGTTCTGGGGTGGAAAGCCCAGGGGAACTTAGCTGTGTAGCCGGTATTGTTTTTTTCTTAGCTGCCTAGTGATACGTTAGTTGTCACTGTGTTGGTTGTAGCACCTTTTGCTGTGTCTCGAATCCTGCATAATACACAGAAAAGTTCACGTATGTGGTAGAAAAAAAATAACCAGAACTTCCAAGCTGGTGTGGGTATAAAACATTCCGATGCCAAGACGCCACGTGCCTCTGGTAATTTTGACAACTAAGTGGAGGAAGCCGGTTTTTTGTTGGATCCTAAGGCATCCGCTGTGTTTCTCTTCCCTGCAGGTACTGTTAACGGGAAATACTGCTGTCCTCAGCTTTTTATCAACCACAGGTGTTTCTCGGGCCCTTACCTGAACAAAGGGAGAATCGCAGAGCTACCTCAGTCCGTGGGACCCGGCAAATGCGTGCTGGTTCTGAAAGAGGTAAAGCGTGTTCGACAGTGGTCACAGTTGGCTTATTTCCACGGGGTGTCGAAGATGTGGGTGGACTCTCCGAAGGAGAGAAAGGAAATGTGAATCCGATGAGGTGACATTTTCCAAGCCCCGGCTCTGGAGTCCTTGGGCCCAAGCTGGTCAGACGAGGACAGAGGATGGGTGAGTCAAAGACTCAACAGGCCGGCGGGAGGGATAGACCTTCCTCCCCTGAGTGCCGGGAAACGTTGCGGTGGGTTTGAATCAAGAGCTTCGGGAACTCAGGGGGGATGGGCTGTGTTGGGGGGCGGGGAGGGCCTGGGAGTGCAGACCAGAGGTTCTCTGGAGAGGTGAGTAAACCTTAGTGGACGGAAGGAAGTGCTTTGGGGACGGACACTCCCCAGCCGAGCCGGGAGTGGTGACCTCTCTCCCCTCCCTCGGCCGTACCTAGCGGGGCGCCTGCATGTAAGAGGTGCCTGCTGAATGCACCATGGGCTCCAGGCGCTCGCGTGACGTTTGTGTCCCGGGCGGAGCCCTGGCCCCGCATCATCTTGACGGTATTGTTTTCCGTCTCTCTTCCTGCCTCTGGGGATCCACCTGCAGATAAAGAGGTGCGTCCTAATTACGTTGATGGAGGGTTTCCTCTCTGGTCTGTGTTTACGGCCTCACCGTGGACCCGGTGCGGAGAGGGGTTGGAATTTTGGAAGCGTTTCTGAGCCGTTCTTGGAACGCCGTCTCTGCTTTTTTCGTGCATATCAGTGATTCGTCTTAAGAAAGAGGACCCCACACTTATCTTCTTTATTGCTACTGTAGCACGAAGAACGTGTTTCCATCCGAGTGCGTCAGGCGGCCGCTTGGAGCCAGACACCGCATGAGGCCCTGGGGACAACAGCAGCACTGTCTGCCCTCGGCCTGTTTGGGCTTCGCGGCCCTGACGGGGGGATAGTGTGAGTCTAGAGGTGCAGTTAAGGGGGTGCTCGGTCAAGGCGGGAGCGGAGCGCTCCGGGAGCACAGGGGAGGCGGTGACAAGGAAATGCCAAGTGACACTTGATGTGGCTTGGGCAGAGCGAGTAGAGCCTCGGATGCACGGGTGGATGTTCGGGGCGGCGTCCAGGAAAGGCAGGTGGTCCCGCGTGGCGGGAGCGTGGACCCTCAGGCTGGGGACAACCCGTAGGCGTACAAGAGGACATCCCATTTTGAAAACGAAAGAGAGAAATCTGGCGGGCCTGAAGCGTGAGGCGGGACGGAGTAGCTGGCGGTCCGCACGTGGAGACCTCTGGTGTCCCGAGGGATGTAGATTTCCCACTCCGGAGGACAGGGACCCCCCCCCCCCATCCCCCTGGGTGACACTGTGCCAGAGCCGGCCTCCTCACTGTGAGAACCTCCGTGTGGTTTCGGACTCCCTTCCACTTCAAGAGAACGAGCTAGTTTTCGTGGAGTCAGAGCGTGTCTGCCTTCTCCAGGCCACCTGCGGAACCAGCAGCGAGAGACTTTATACGTTTAGAAAACAGAAATCCATTGTAGAGGGAAGACGGAGGTTGTGGCTGAGCAGAAACGCTGTGAAGAAACTCCGATCAGGCCGCTGTCGTGGTCATTTATTCAGAAGCGTGTCACAGAGAAAATGTTCGGAAGGGGGTTCCTGTCCTTAAATGTGCTTCCGGTCAAGTGGGAGAGACAAGCGGGCGAGTGAAGACGGCGGAGTGGGGGGGCGTCTCGGGTGCCGTGACGGGGCTGGGACGGGTGCTTGGAGGTCACACAGATGTCCCCGCGGTCTGTGGGGACAGAGGAGTGGGCAGCCTGCACCCAGAAGCGCTGGGGGTGGTGCCCTGGGACGGAGGCAGGCAAGATTGGGAAAGCGGGCTTCCGGCACAGGTGTAAGGACCTCGAGGGACGGACACTGGGCACAGATGTGTATCGAGAGTCCCCGTGGGCCCTGCTGTCCTCAGCAGTTTGGACCCGCTTTCGTGGGAAGCCGCCCCCCTCCAGCAGGCAGGCGCTGCGTCCCGAGAGAGACCGGTGCAGGTGGGGTCCAGCCTGCCTGGCAGGTGGGCCTGTCTCACAGATGAGACGTTTGTCGCTACAGAAAGACGGTGCTGAGGCGGAGGGGACGCCCCTGAAAGGCCGTGGTGGTGCATAAACGGAAGGACCGCCGGTCAGCCGTGTGTCAGGTGGCACTGACCTCGGATCCCTGCAGATGCTGGACTGGATCGAAGGAGACACCGAAGCGGGATTCCGTGTCAGGATCTCTGTCACGATGCGAATCACACGCTTGGACCGAGCATTGACCCTCTGCCGTCCAGCCCGTGACGGGGTGTTGGTACGGTGGGGCCTGCCCGTGTCTGGGCCTGTTATTTTCAGGACGGATCAGAAAGGAACAGGGAGGCCGGCAAAAGTAACAGAGACCCGGCGGGAGCCTTTGAAGCTGCCGGCAAAACCGTTTGTCACGGAACGTTCCTGCGATGAACACGAGGTCCCAGCTCGCCTGCCGGCTCCGTTAGCAGACGCGGTGGCCTCCTCGGGGGGCTGGCCGTTTGTCCCGCACGAGGTTGTGGAGTCCACGGCGGTTCCCCCTGATCGGTTCTGCGACAGGTGCCAGCAGCCAGACGTGAAAGGCGGGCCGAGCAGTTTTCTGATGACGGAACCAGTTGTTCGCTGATGTTCAGAAACTGCATGAGTCAGGAAGAGAAGAAGAGGGGGGAAAAGCCAGCTCTTCAGTTCTGTGAGCTCCAGACCAATTGTCAAGTTCCAGCAAGCCGATATTCATGCTGATGCGCTTCCTTCTAGCACCAGAACCTCCGTGGTTTCAGATTCCGTTTTACTTAAAGAGAATGAGGTCACTGGAGCAGAGACGGAGCGCGTTTGCTTTTCGGGCCATCGGCGGTGTGAGCGGTCGCAGGCGTTTTCGTCTTTGGGAAATGGCCGGGCCGCGGCCGTTCTCCTCGTCCACGCTGCTCAGAGAGAGCAGACGCGTGCGGGTGTGGACGCAGCGGCCGTGGACGTGGCACGAGGCAGCTCCCGGAGCACGGACCACCAGAGGGGGGAGGGTCGGCGCCTGTCCGCTCACCTCCTGGGCAGGGAGCCTCCCGCACATCGGACTCGAGTGAGGCTTTGAGGACTCAGAGCAGACCCTGGCCTCGATTCTAGAAAGGCGGCAGCAGAGTGGGTAGCTGACCTCCGAGAAGCTGGAGCCACAGCCGGTGAGCGGCCCAGCCAGGTCCGTCCTCTTCACGAGGGACCCAGGAGAGCAGCTCTCGCAGGGAGGGAATGGGTCGAGCCTGTGGATGGCCCCTCAGCCTGGGCCATCTTGTGGGAGCCCTGGGCCCAGACCCGTGGGGGTGGGACCTATAAGTACGAGTCCCCCCCGGGGGGCTGTGTTTGTCATAAATCAAACCTTCATGCTCAGTGTGCTCGTTGTCACCCAGGGTCGTCCTTTCCTGTCCCGGATGCTTCCTCCTCCACGCCTGCCGAAGTACCCCAGGGTGTCCCCAAGACCTGTCCGCTGCAGGTCTGTGTGCCCTCGGTCGGTTTACGAGGTTGTGCGTCACCATGCTCCCGCTCCTCCGAGCATGCTGCAAAGGTGCTGGGGAAATTTCTGCTTACTCCTTCTTTAAGTGCAGTCTCCTTCCTGAGTGGCCAGGCCTGTGCAGGGCAGTGTAGTAAGGGGGGTGCTGTGTGCTTGTGTCCGTGTGTGAAGGAGAGCCCGCACGAGCACACGAGGAGGAGGAGAGAGGGCCACCTGGTGCATTTACTCGTGTCCGTGTGTCCAGCGACGACAAGCACGGCTTCTGAAATGGACAAGTGATGACACGAGACGACACCGACCAGGCCCTGCCGGCAGAAGTGACTCTGAGAAGACCAGCTCACAAGTTAGATTCTCTTGCTTCTTTGGTGACTGTCACAGGCACGGGTGTAGAGGTGCCATCCCAGGGTGGCTTACAGACATTTCGGGAGCACGTGTGGCTTTCTGAAACGTTATTTGGCTTAAATTACTTGCCCACATGTAACCTCTGTTTTTAGCAATAAACGATAGAAACGTCCGTCCAGTGGGGAATCTCTAGGAACCTCTTTTTATGTTTTCCACATAACTTTGGGATGTGTGTTGGCTCAGCAACATAAAAACACTTCACGTGCCGCGTTTTGGCAGTGTGCGTGCGTTCAGTCCTTTAGTGAACATGTAGGGACGCTTGGGGGACTCAGTTAAGTGTCTGACTTGGGCTCAGGTCATGATCTCATGGTTTGTGGGTCTGAGCCCCACGTCAGGCTCTGTGCTGACAGCTTAGACCCTAGGAGCTGCTTCGGATTCTGTGTCTCCCTCTCTCTCTGCTCCTCCCCTGCTCATGCTCTCTCTCTCTCTCTCTCTCTCTCTCTCTCTCAAAAATAAACATTAAAAAAAAAGAGCGGAGAACATTTATCAGTGCGCTTCATGAAAAGGTACATATGTGGCCCTTGACTCTCTTCCCTTTTTTCTTCTTCCTCATGCTTAATAGAAGGCTGAGGAGAAAGCATCCAGAATGCTGGACACTAAGGAGACTTTCCATAGTGATAAGCTTCCGTGGCTTTTTCTTTCCTTGCAAGCTGTGTGCTCGTCCCGACCTGGATCTGACATCGAGATCAGGCAGAATGCAGTGGGGTACGCTTGTAAGATAAAATACGTAAGACTGAGCTCTACCAAGGCAGGGAAGGTGTTCCTGATGAGTGGGCTAGAGACGCACATGTGTGCACACAGACACCCCACCCGCCTACCTGTCTGTCCGTCCACCCACCCATCCACCCACCCATCCAACCATCCAACCACCCACCCATCTATCCACCCATCCACCCACCCATCCACCCATCCACCCACCCATCCAGCCATATCCAACCACCCACCCGTCTATCCACCCATCCACCCACCCATCCATCCATCTTCCTATCCTGTATCTGTCCATCATCATCTCTATCATGTACCTATCCATCCATTCACCCACCTGCCCATCATTTTCATCTATCCATCCATCAATGTCATCTATCAT